CCCCAAAACCCCAAAACCCCAAAACCCCACTTTAATAGATAGCTATTAGAATTTAAGAATTAATTTTGAAATCAAATTCTAGTAGTTCCATATTCAAAAATATTAACTTTGTGCTAGAAGGTATTTCTATTTGCTGATTTAGGGTCTCGTACCCTAACATTATTATTCAAAGTTTTAAATTAGCTTTAAGTATCAATCAGCCGTGGTGATGAATTCATGCTGCTATTATATAAGCTGTTAGTTTTTTCGGAAGGGGAGGTCAAAAGTAAAAAATCGTATTTTTTGTAATTTGTATCTCTTGATCTAGATGAGGGAGATTCTATTCTTATAGTATTGCTATTACTATTAGGATTACTTTCGTATGGATTATTAGAATTTAAACTAATTCTTTCAGAGCTATAGTGGGCTTGTTTTAAGTCTTTGAATGTACATTCCCTAATCATATTCCTATCAATATTCTCTTGATTGTCTTGGATGAATTAAGTATTTCCATTACGATTATTCTATACAGCACTTTAAATTTTACTATTTATTTTGATATTCATATTCTTTAGTAGATCTTAGCGTTGCTTTTCTAGTAATTATTCATTCTAGAAAAACTTTTCATAAGCTGATTAATTAGTTCTGATAGGACTCTGACTACTTAATCTAATATTTTGATTAGCATTATTGGAATATGGAGATAGCATTGTTTAATGATTTTAGGGAGTCATGAATTGATGCTGAGTATGATTTTACTGTGACTATTATTGCTTTTAATTTGTCACATAATTAATGTTATTGTCATTGTCGTAGGATGAATGAGTAGAACCCTGATTGATGTTAACACTAAGACTTTCCAGCGAATTTCCGGAAAGTATGCTCTTTTTGTGCCTTACTTCTTCCAAATGTGTTTTGTAATCCTGATTCAATTTCTTCTAATTTTCTAATAAAGTTTGTCTAGATTTCTTCCTTGGACTCAGTACCTTATTATATTTTTAATACTCTTTTCTAATATCAAGGCCTTGATTAGAGACTCTTTCAGTATTAAGTTTTTATATAATATTAGTATCATCTAGTTCAAGATAAGTTTCATTAATAAAGGGCCTAGCTTTACTCTGATTTTAAATGCTTATGGAATCTTTATTATAGTCTATAGTTTTATTTTAGTGAATTTTGCTGTTAGTCTCATGAATAATTACACTAGCATACTGTGAACTAGTTTCTGGTCCTAGATTAATCCTTACACTTTTTTCAGCTGAGTTACGATTAATAGAGATGGATTAATTGGATTTACTAATATCAATAATTGGTATTCTTATTTATTGCTGTTAAGTTTGTTATTCATTTTTCCTTTAGACTGACCTAAAGGAATTCTGAATGTTGACTTTGTTAGATAAATTGCTTTACTGCATATGCCATTTGTTAAAGGCTAATTTTATCTGCTGATTGACATACTTAGCATGTATTTTCAAAGCCTTTTTAAGCTTAGCTTCTCGTTTTGTCTTTTCAGTCTTAATAAATTGCATATACAATCTTTGGCTTAGTAAAAAAATGTCATCCTCTGACAATTGCTTAATCAACTAAGATAAGGCTTTAATTATTTATATACCAATCTATTACTGAGCATCTTCATTTGATTGTTATTTTTTAGCTTTGGAGTTTTAAATTAAAGGGTTAGATTTATTTGAAAGCCTAGAGGATGTCTTACCTCTATTTGACCTATGAGTATTTATTTCGCTAGTTGTTTATTTCTACGGCATGAGTTAGGTAAGTAACCGTATTTATTGGGAAGCAAAAAATTTAGATTTTTTCAGAAATCTAGTAAATTTTGAAAACAGAGGAGTATCCATTGTTAGAAATATATTGAATTTATGTTAATTTAATTAATTCATATTTAACGAATAGATTTGTATGAATGGGGTTTTGGGGTTTTGGGGTTTTGGGGTTTTGGGG